CGCGCGAAGTCGAGCACTTTACGGTAGCACAGTTTAACGAGGACCAATACCGCACACCCTCGGTCCCTACGCAGACTGATCCAAGTGGTCACCCACCCGCACACTGACCGTAGCCAGTGATGCTTGACTTCGGTGATCTGCTGGAAACCGTGTCTTAACGATCAGTCCACTGCGGGACTGAATGACTTTATTAATTGTACACATGTTTTACACAAATTCATCATGATGAAGAGTTTTGCTTTTTAAAAAAAATAAAACATGATTAAGAATGAAAGTTAATGTAATCAATATTCACTAAAACTAGAATTTCAGACAAGTTTTTTTTAAAATTAGAAATCCTAATTTTAAAAAAAAATATTTTTTCTCTCTTTAATGCTCATTCATTATACTCTCCCATTTAAAAGATATTTGTTTTATTCATATTTATAACTTATTATTAAATCTTATTTGCTGCTTTAAATATTAACTGATCTCGCAGTGGACTGATCGTTAAGACACGGTTCCCAGCAGATCACCGAAGTCAAGCATCACTGGCTGCGGTCAGTGTGCGGGTGGGTGACCACTTGGATCAGTATACGTAGAGGCCGAGGGTGTGCGGTATGGGTCCTCGTTAAACTGTTCTACCTTAAACTGCTCGACTTTGCGTGCGGGTCTTCGGGCTACCGATGCGGGGGTGCCATCCTCCCTGCAGAGGATCAAAATTGTGATGGCATGTCTTCGGATCATCCTCAGGGAAGTTTCCCAGACCGTCGCCAATAGCCCATTGTGCAGCTCTAGTGCGACGTGAATGAACTCAACAACAACAATTAAATATTAACAGGATTTTATACCTACTTTTAAATTATTCATTTTAAATGGAAATTGTGGAGATTTAGCTCAAAGTAAATTAAATTGAACGCTGTTAAGAATGTTAAAATAAAACAAAAAAAATTTTCGAATCTCACTTTTGAAAATTTATAATTAGAAAAAAGTTATAGTTTCATACAAAAATTATAGTTATTATAGGCGATCGCAACGCTCGAATACGCTAGTTTAAAAAATGACATTACTCAGAGATAAGCACCAGAAATATAGTTAGAATTCAAACATTTTCCAAATAGTGAAACGTACTTCCGGTGACCTTAAAGATTTCAAATATTTTGCTCAATTAATGCAAATGAAATTTATAATATCGCATGATCACTTGAATGCTTTTCTTCATTTACTTTGCTATTAATTGATTATAACTAATATGCATTTACAGTTAAATCACAATCGAAACTAATATGTCTGATTTTACTTTGCATATTAGTTATGACTAATAAATAGCTACAATATGCAGTTATGAGTGTGAGTTAGCTGTAAATCCCAATTGATGATATTAATATCTCACTTTTGTTCAATTAACTTACTATCATAGCTAATTAAGGAAAATATATGTAACACTGGAATATATTTCTTTCAATTATTATATTTTTCAAATACATGCTATGTAAATTATTGGGCAATTTGTTTTTTAGGTTTGTTTTGCTTAAATCGTGCTTCATTTTACTTAATGTCTTAGAATAAATAATTTTAAATGGAAGAATTCTGATCTTAAATGTTCACAGTTACAATTAGGAGGATAGTATTATCACAAGCTATCTACACTAAACGCCTGCGGCATGATGAATAGTTAGAAAGGAGGAAAGCATATACTCAGGCTTAAAAGTTGTGTTTATGTATGTATTATTGAAACTGAAAAACATAATGCAGTAAAACTTAAATTAATTAACTTAATAGCTGTAATATGTGGAATTGTTACTATAAAGAATATAATTTTACAAAAAGATTTCTGAAACCCTGTTCATTTTATAATACGAGGAAACAATTTGATAAATACTCACCTTAATACTTCTTCCTTAATACGTTCTGTAATTAGCTTTTTTATTTTTTGGATGATGCGCCTTAGAAGGGGCAGTAGAAGGAAATACTTGATATTAAAATAATGAGCAAGATCTCATACTAAAGCTCCACTGAGCCATTTTGAATCAATTAGGACATATATCCATTATAATTGTATCCATTGAGACATATATCCATTATAATTGTATCCATTGAGACTATATCCATTATAATTGTATCCATTGAGACATATATCCATTATAATTGTATCCATTGAGACATATATTCATTATAATTGTATCCATTGAGACATATATCCATTATAATTGTATCCATTGAGACATATATCCATTATAATTATATCCATTGAGACATATATCCATCATAATTGTATCCATTAGAACAGTTCACTCACTGACGTCTCGAACTATTGTGCATCATAATTCATGTCATTATATTCATCCATGTGGAAAATTCACAACTCACTATCAAAAGCTAAATTCGAACCCATAAAGACGGGACGAACTCTACAGGATCTGCAAATTTATTTATTAGACGATACAAAACACATGGAGCTGTGATGGCTCAGGAGATAAAGCGCTCCTTTTCCAACGAGGTGAACCGGGTTCGAATAGGCTTGTTGATACGAATTCTGCATCCGGCTTGCACCGACCACAGTGCTGACGTTATATATTCTCAATGTTAGAGGGATAATGGGTTAGAGTTCAGGCTAACCTGGGGAGGCTTTCGTGGTTTTCTTTCCACGTGACACAAATGCGGGTTACTTCCATCAAAAAGTCTTCCATAAAGACAAATTTCTTACAATACTTGATAAAGAAGTTTCCTTGTCGTTTGGATTTAATTCAAAATTACAAAGCTACGGAGTTGAGCATCAGTAGTAGTCGACCCAGAAAATTGAGTT